TTCACCGCTCTATAGTGACTTTTTATGCCTGTCATCGACTAGTCGCTGTCACGTGATAATGACCGGCAAGATGCAGTCCACGGAAAAGACAGCAGCCTGCTGTCAGCAGGTGACAAGCTCCTGCGCGTCGGAAGGCAACGCGCTGTGCCATAGCGTCGGTACTGACACGCGATCGTTAATGTCTGCTCATTTCCTTTAATGTTTTCTGTCTTTATTTTGCGCCTGATGTGTTTCACTGCTGTGTGGCTGCGCGCATCACCTTGTCATCCGGTGACGCACCGATCACTGATGCTGCCACCAAGCAGCGAGCACTCCGCTGTTTTTGCGGTCGGTAGATCTTTTAGAACTGCAGTTCAAAGGTAACTCATAAGGTGAATATAAATGAACCCAGGTAGCAGTTTCTCTTTAGGATTGAGAGGAGATGCAGGAAGATAATAAACAGACAGGACAGAAAAATAGTCAAATAAAAACAAGTTAGTTTTTGTTCCTGGTGGTTGCAACAAACAAACACCATTGAAGGTAATCAGAAGTGAGGAACAGAAAATGAAATAATTATTTTAATGTTTAGAGCAGCAGGAACTCCGAGGGGCTGCCGGCGCATCGGTGAGTTTGCGGCCGCTGCGCAGGGGGAGGGGGGAGAGGGCTGAAGCAGAAACTACTGATGTTAAAAGAAATGTGTTTAACTTTGAAAATGTAGGCGCAATTTTAATTGTCAAAAACTCCAGCGAGCCATTAGTTCATTTTGCTCAAATAGAAATAGAGGCCTGCCTCTAATTCTGGCCCTCCTTCCAATAAAGGCCTGGAGCTTGATGAGCTTGAGTCAAATACAGGCCCGGGCCTGTCTTAGAGGGTTTACGGTATGTCAAATATGCTACAATATCAATAAAAACTATAATATAATGAGTAATTGTCCTGTTCTAATTTATTAGAAGACCAATTATCTAGTTTTTCACTTGTATTTATTTTATTCATTTTCATTTTCATTGCTTGTTTTGAGCTATAAGACGCATTTATGTTGTGATCTCCCCTCCTTTTTGGGATGTTTTTCACAGCTAAATGTTTCAGATCATCAAACAAATTTTAAAAATTAGACAAAAAATACACACATCAACACAAAATGGAGTTTTTAAGTGAATGTTTTCATTAAAAGGAAGAAAAAATTCATATCTAGGGGTAGGCGAATCTGGTCCTTCAGGGATACTGTTATCCAGCATGTTTTAGTTTTTTCCAACACACCTGGTTTCAATCAGCAGGTGATTAACGGGCTTCTGCAGAGCCGAGGTTGATGATCTGCTGAACAGGTGATTCAACTGTCTTGGAGCAGGGAATCCACTAAAACATGCTGGATGGTGGCTCTTAAGGACCAGCATTGCCCATCCCCGCTCTAGCCACACCCAGAACAGATTACTACCCCACCTGTTCTTGATGAAGAAATCACCTAAATAAACCTCTCACAAAGTGAAATGGACCAAAAGACCCTCAAAGGTTAGACATTAAAGCTTGGTTTATGCTTGACGCATTCACTTTCCGCGCGGTGATGCGGCTCGCGGCTGGAACGCGCTTCACAACTCGCAGCGTTTATGGTTTGTGCGGCTCGTCTCTGCGGTGAGCCAATATTCTCCCGAACTGAATGGGGCAGCATGGAGCTCTACAGCATGCATCCAACACTACACCATAGTAGAAGTAGAAATCACTGTTTACAACATGGCATTTCAGCATTTTTAACAGCGTTCTCGTCTTTTCCGACAGTGCGAGCTATTTCTCTCCAAGAATTATTAACAACATGTTGATCACGGTGATCTCTGAGAGCTGAATCATACAAATGTCTGTATTTACGAACCTCTGCCGTGCCGGTCCGCCATGTTTTTCCGCGTCCGACCGTCCGCGTGGTTAGAAATTTTCCGAGGTGCGCATTGCGGAAATCTTGGGCCGTGCGGAGACGCGGTGGAGGGGCGTGGTTGTTAAAATGTAGCAAAATGACGCAACTTTTCCGCGCGGACCTCGCGGACGCATCAAGCATAAACCAACCTTAAGTGCCCACATCTAAAGAAATCCAGGAACAAGTGAAAAAGAAAGAAACTGAGAAGCATCAGTCTGGAAAAGGTTCTGAAGACATTTCTAAAGCTTTGGGACTCCAGCAAACCACAGTGAGACCCATTAAGGTTGGTTTATGCTTGACGTGTCTGCGAGGTTCACGCGGAAAAGTTGCATCATTTTAACAACCACGCCCCTCCACCGCGCCTCCGCACGGCCCAAACTTTCCGCACCGCGCACCTAGGAAATTTTCTAACCATGCGGACGGTAGGACGCGGAAAAACATGGCGGACTGGCAAGAACTAGTATGGCAGAGGTTTGTAAATACAGACATTTGTATGATTCAGCTCTCAGAGATCACCGTGATCAACATGTTAATAATTCTTGGAGAGAAATAGCTTGCACTGTCGGAAAAGACGAGGACGCTGTTAAAAAATGCTGAAATGCCATGTTGTAAACAACAGTAATTTTTACTTCTACTATGGTGTAGTGTTGGATGCATGCCGTAGAGCTCCATGCTGCAGAGATAAGCCGCATGAACCATAAACGCTGCAAGTTGTGAAGCGCGTTCCATCCGCGAGCCGCATCACCAAGCAGATACGGAAATACGGAAGTGCAGAAATGAGGTGGTTGTGCGGGATCGACAACCGGATGGTCCAACGGTTGCTCTCGGTCCAAGCCGTGTTATTGGCGGTGGTTTGTAGACAAATAGGAGAAAATAAATTTATAGCTATACTGCATCAGAACGTTGTTAAGAGGCATGAAGATTTTGCCAATTTTTTTTTCCAAATTTGCTACAGCAGCTTTAAGGTCAGTGTTCATGACTCCGCCATTGGAAAGATGGCCTGAACGGCAGAGCTCCAAGGCAGAAACCTCTGCTGAACAAATCGAACAACAAAGGTTTATTTCAGATTTGCTGGAAAACATCTTGATGATCCCCAAAATGTAGGAAAATATTCTGTGGACCAACAAGACAAAAATGCTGAAGTTTTTGTAAGGTGTGTGTTCTGTTGCATCTGGTGTAAAAGTAACCCTGCATTTAAGAAAGAGAGAACATCATAGCAACAGTTAGACACGGGGGAGGTAGAGTGATGGTCAGGGGCTGCTTTAGGACCTGGACTACTTACTGTAATTTAAAAGTCCACGAGTTTGGCTATCTACCAAACAAGTTCTGAGGGAGAACCTCGGGCCATCTGTATAACCACTTAAACATTTCTTGGAGCTGAACTCGTGCGAATTAGTGCAGATGCACCGACCAGAAGCTGCAGCTTTCCGTTGATTTTATAATTATTGACCAGAAAAGAAATCTGAGACCATGGTCTTGATTCGGGAAAGGGTAGAATGCCTTCTCCGGGTCAGGGATGAGGTCCTGCCCCAAGTGGAGGAGTTTAAGTATCTCGGGGTCTTGTTCACGAGCGAGGGAAAACTGGAGCGTGAGATCGATAGGCAGATTGGTGCTGCATCTGCAGTGAAGCAGGCGTTGTACCGATCTGTCAAATCAAATAAAATCAAAGATACTTTATTAATCCCAGAGGAAAATTAGAGTTTCAGTACACACAATTCGTGGTGAAGAGAGAGCTGAGTCAGAAGGCGAAGCTCTCGATTTACCGGTTGATCTACGTTCCTACCCTCACCTATGGTCATGAGCTTTGGGTAGTAACCAAAAGAACGAGATCGCGGATACAAGCGGCCGAAATTAGTTTTCTCCAAAGAGTGGCTGGGCTCTCCCTTAGAGATAGGGTAAGAAGCTCGGTCATTCGGGAGGGGCTCGGAGTAGACCCGCTGCTCCTCCACATCGAGAGGAGCCAGTTGAGGTGGATCGGACATCTGGTCAGGATGCTTCCTGGACGCCTCCCTGGTGAGGTTTTCCGGGCACGTCCAACCGGGAGGAGACCAAAAGGTAGACCCACGACATGGTGTAGGGACTATGTCTCTCACCTGGCCAGGGAACACCTTGGGATTCCCACGTAGGAGCTGGCTCAAGTAGCTGGGGAGAGGGAAGTCTGGGCCTCTCGCCTTAGGCTACTGCCCCCGCGACCAGACTCCAGATAAGCGGATGAAAATGGATGGATGACCAGAAAATAAATGTACTTTAAATTTCTAGATTTCCAATTGTAATAAATTTATTGCTTTAGTTGTTCACATATCATAAATAATACCCGGGAGATTTGGTTCCACTTTGCTTAACAATTTCCTGTGTCATCATTACGCCTCATTTCTGTCCATCAGGGTGTTCAGATACAGAAATGTAGTCAACACGTGGGACTGTTCCCCCTTAGTTATTTAGATGCATGCTGGGTTGAATAATGAAAAAGGACCTGTTGTTTTTTGTAAAATAAAAAAAATTAAAAATCAGACAAACACTACCAGTATTTTGCTTTAAAAAATGTAGCTATTTGAAATATAATTTGGCTGATTTGAACATTATGGCCTCAGTATTCTTACCTATAAAATAAAATAAAAACCAACCTATAATATAAACAAACTGCAGAATGTTAAACCCTTTAATATTCGAAAAACAGCTAATTGTTGGTTCATGGTAAAATAACAACATTGACAGTGTCTTTTGTATTTATTGTGAAATTGTTTCATAACAGAATGAAAATAAAACTGCCACTTGCCATCTGCAGTACTTAGATGTTCCACCAGAGGGCAGAAAACTAACTTTTACAGGGAAAGTACTAATCATGTTAGAGAGATAGAGGTCTGACAAACTTTCTGTTTACACTTGATATTATTTCAGTAAGGTTTAATTTAACTAAATGTTAAAACTCATTCCTGACTTTTATGGTTTTCTCACCAAAACAACCAAAATCTGGTTTTGTGCTGGTCACTCTATTTATCTTTGTTTTTATTAGACCTAGCTACATTTGCTTGCTCACTAACAACAACCCTCCACACTTTACTTACCTTCGTCTAACCTGACAGATTTAATCTGCGACTGAAATGAGGACAGGAGGCGTCGGTGGGACCTGACTCGAGCGCATTTTTATTGAACGTTCATAACTGTTAAAAACATGTATAAAATTGGCCCTGTTTCAGAAACAAGGCACGCATAGTCATGTCAGTGTTCAGTGTTCATGTCATTATTAAGATTATCACTTATCATCATTATCACTTACCACCTCATTATGTGTCTAATAGTAGTATCAAGCATTCCTAATATAAAAACACGTTCAAATTTATTCGTCACAGAGGTTAAAATTTTATTCCGAGCAGCAAGACAATATTCATGCAAAGACGGGAGTGGAAGAGAAGATGCGTTCTGACGGATTTCTTTAATAGTAGGTCTCCCGTTCCACCCAGCCTGGAAAGACAAGAGGAAAAAGCAAATTTAGATCATCATACATTTAATTTGAGAGCCTGCAAAACAACGGTGTGGACGTGATTTAAGTTTCTCTGCCCTAAGGCTTAAAAACAATCTGCTCATCGGAGAGAGAGAAACAATAAAAGCACAAATTCCCAACTCACCTCCCGGGCTGCGTCGGAGGATCAGCTTACGGATTTCATCATAGATAAAGATGAGCAGGGAGTACGGGAAGGCGCAGAACCACCAGTTGGGCCTGAAAACACACAAAGCAGGTGAAACCCAGAGCCTGGGGTCAGGATGAGCAGCGTGCGATTTGGGATCTACTCACTTGAGAGGGTACATTCTGAGGGCCACGTCCATGCCTGGGCAGTAGGAGAGGAAGGCGGCGAGGGCGGTCTCCTCAAACAGCCCAAAGATCAGGATCTTATTCCTGAAAACCACCAAAAACAAAACTAGGTCTGAGAAATAAAAGGATGCGTGAAATGACAGGAAGCTGATTTTCTTTTCACAATAAAACAGGAATGTTGAGATTAAATTTGAAGTTTTGAGAAAAAAGGAATATTTACAGATAAGATGATGGTTTTAGAATAGACTTTAATAAAGTTAGAACGTTACATGGAAATAGACAAATTAGTGTTTCAAGAATTAATGGTTGAATATGGAACAACGTAATAAAAAGCTATACATCTTTAAAATAATACCTCCACGGGGCGTTTAGAGGTGTGCAGAATGAAGGTACGGTATTTCCTTTCAAAGCTATCAAAGATTTATTTTGACAGGCACAACACTGGGTTTATGTTTACGTCTACCAGCCAATACAGGGCACCACTGAGGGTTGCTCAGCACAGTGAGGCTGGCCCTGAGGAAAATGGCGGCAAGTCAAGCAGCTGCTTCTGAGCCCAGAAGATGTTATCCTTCTCAGGAGAGGAGCGACCATAAAAGAGTGAGTTTAGGTGAAGCCTACAACAAATAAAACATTTCACACATCGGCAGCGAAACTGGCATCGCGACGGCTGGAAACCTTGTTCTGTTGTTGCAACTACAACCTCCACACACTAGATGTCGCTTCGGTGACGTTAGTTTATTCTTCTGAATGAGTTTTAATAAGAAGTATTTTAGTGTGTAAAGGTTCCGTTTTATTCTGAAAATATTATGTTTACTTTATTTTCCCTTTGATCAAAGTGCACTTTGACTTTTCCTGTAAGCAATTTTACTTCAGCTTAAAGCTAGTTTGGACTTTTTTTATGCATTTCATTTTTTTCTTCAGCATGTTGAATTTTATCTCAACATTTTTATTTGAAAGTCAATATTCTGATTTTAAACATTTGGATTTAATCTTTGCATTTAGACTTTTGAGTTTAATATTATGACTTTTCCCCTTAAAATGTCTACTTTAATTTCAACATTACTTCTGAAATCTCAATATTATGACTATAATCATATATTATAAACTTCTGATCTCAACATTTGCACCTGATCCGGCCTTTGCACTGGATGCGTGAGCACGGTAATAAACGCGTCGGCCGAGAGACTTTCAGATGCAAAAGGCAGCAGGAGCATCCCGAGCGTGATCCTGTGAGGTCACAAAATCACCGGGACATTGAATGATCATGCGATAAAAAACCAGAACAAAGACGACAGCGTGTATTGAAAAAGCTCTGTGGTTTTTCTGTTCTGTTTACCTCAGCTACGGGGGTACTGATAAACTTTTATTGCTAGTTAAGAAACTGGAAATCTACAAGTTTATTTTATTTAGAAAGTTTCCGGATCTCTTACACTGCTATCATGGCCTGACTTCCTGTCTGGCTCGATCTGAACTGTTGAGCTTGACGTAATCTGGAAGCGTAAGACTCAAAGTGTAAATTCACCGGAGTGATGTGTTACTACTCATCCGCTTCGACGACGGCCAATCAGTGCGTGCTATGCTTCGTACGCAATTCTTAGACGTCCAGCGGTAAGAGCCCGTCAATTCTAAATCTTAAAAATTAAATTAAAAAATAAATTAAACTATTCTTTTTTATGTGACCCTAAACAGGTCAGGGATTCTTGGCGGAGGAGTTTTACTCACTTCATGCCCTGCTGGAAGACAGAGTTCCTCCTGGTCTTACAGATGATCAGATCGGCCCACTGTACAATGACGATACTGGCGAAGAAGGCCGTGTGGCAGGTGAACTCTACGATCTTCCTCTGCTCGTAAGTCTAAAAAAACCAAACATCACAGGACTTACAGCCTGCTCTGGGAGGAGAAAACCTCTGCAGCAAACGTGACTGACCCACTGCTGTCCATAGCTGTCCTCCAGGTCATTGATGTATTTATTATCCCAGCTGACTCGGATGCCAACGAGGGTGGACGGCAGGAAGCCGTTTTCGGCCAAAATCACAAAGTAGGTGAAGAAACCCGCCAGCGCCTGGATCATTCCTGCAGGAGAAAGGATTCACACATCGGGTTAGCAAAGCCAGTCTCGCCTATCAGTTCTCTTTGACTAAAGCTGGCAAACGAAATGATAAAATATGTTTAGAATTTGTAATTAAACCAGGGATTGGTAAACGGTCACGTAAAGACGCTGGATTGGAGGCAAAAAGTCAGAAAATGTGATTAAAACCAATCTTTTGAAAAACTTTCTGGTCTTTATAATGATCAATTGATGGTAGTTAATTCAAAATAAAAAAATATTAATCCATTTTAATCCTTTAAACGTTTCATATTCGTTTGAATCTTTTTTAAATGTTAATTTGTAATAAAAGGGGAAATAAAATGTCACCAGGGGAGAATAACTGGAACTGAAAAGGGTAATGTGTGTCCAACATGACGGTCACATCTATTTGCGGCATTGGGGGGGGGGGGGGGGGGGGGGGGGGGGGTCGTCTATCATCACTCAGAAACACATCACGGTAACACTCCTGTCCTCTATCAGGGCCGTCTATTTATGTCACACGATGCTCTTCTTCTCGTCTCCGGGCGACGCGGACACTTTTCAAAAGGACGCTTCAGCGTTCAGAAAGGGCTTGTTTACCGATTTGTCCGTACGCGATGCTGATGAGCCTCTCGTTCACCAGCTTGTCTGTTTTGGGGTTTCGGGGCTGTCTCTTCATGATGTCGCTCTCAGCTGCTTCGTAGGCCAGAGAGATGGCAGGAACCATGTCGGTTCCCAGGTCGATACACAGGATGGTGACGGTGCCCAGAGGCAGAGGGATGCTGGCGATGATGAAGAGGAGGAAGGGGGTGATCTCTGGGATGTTGCTGGTCAGGGTGTAGGCGATGGATTTCTTCAAGTTGTCAAAGATCAGACGACCTGATGAGAACACAAAATAAATATGAGTTTGTTCAATTATAGCTGAAGGTAGCAAACAACGCATTCGTTATGCACCTTCTTCCACTCCGGTGACGATGGAGGCAAAGTTGTCGTCCAGGAGGATCATGTCAGCAGCCTGTTTGGACACGTCGGACCCAGCGATCCCCATGGCAACGCCGATGTCGGCCTTCTTTAAGGCTGGGGAGTCGTTCACACCGTCACCTGTCACAGCCACGATGGCTCCCTACGGGAAAAACCAAGAACGAGAAAATCTGCAAATTCAAAGATAAACTTACCAAATTGTAACTTTAGGATGTGTTTTAAAGCTGGTTACTCTAAAGTAGGTTAAAAAAGTAATTCTGAAGAACAGATTTGAGATTACTTCAACAAAAGCAAAGCGTCAGCTTTAAGAGTGCAGATAGGTAAAAATCTGTAAACCAGTAACTGTCTTCTAAGAGTTCACTGCTGCATTTCTAGAAATGTAGATGTCTGTGAATATATTTACATGAATTATGTCATAATAATAATAATAATAATATCGTCGTAACATCAGCTAATGCTGCTCTGTTTACAGCTCAGGCCATGCCATGTGGAGAGAAACTGAATTAAATGAAAGGTACTGGCTTCATAAATATTCCCCAGCCTGGGATGCATCAATTAGATCTTCAGCCTTTTGGAGTTTTAGCCAGGCGGTGATGGACTGCACATTCCCTGCTGCTTGTAGATTTATTACGACCACAAGTTGTAATAAATCTAAATAATTAAATCTATGTTTGCCGGAAAAAGTCCTGCAGCTTCTGGCTTAACGGAGTGCTTTTTAGTTTTAAAACAATGGATGACAGAGGCTTCATTTGAAACTTTTTCAGTCTACCTGTCTCTGACAGCCCTCCACAATGATCAGTTTTTGCTGCGGAGATGTTCTGGCAAAGACGATCTCTGTGTGGTACTTCAGGATGTCGTCCAGCTGCTCTGCAGTCAGATCCTTCAGGTCGCCACCATGCACAACACAAGCCTTGGCATCTCTGGAAAAGATTGGGGAGAAAAGTGTTTGAATAGAAACTACAAGCTATAATTAAGGGCTTTACACTCAGCATGAGATTCAATTAGTTACAGTCAAATTTTGAATAAATTGGGACTAAGTACACAACCCTGGGGTACTCCACACTTACATTACATACAGATGTTATCATCCTAATCTAATCAGTACCTTGGATTAACTTCATTGATCGGGATGTTCAAACGTGCAGCGATGTCTTCAACAGTCTCGTTGCCCTCAGAGATGATTCCTACGCCCTTAGCAATAGCCTTGGCTGTGATTGGATGATCACCTGTCACCATAATTACCTAAAGAGAAAAAAAATGTTTGTACAAAAATTTGGAGGAATTGGGAGTATTTTGTAGATCTTAGGGACAGAATGAAGTAAATAACTCACTTTGATTCCAGCACTCCTGCATTTGCCCACAGCGTCGGGCACGGCGGCACGAGGAGGGTCGATCATGGACATAAGGCCGATGAAGCACAGGTTCGTAATGGGGAAGTTCACCTCATCTGTGTCGAACTCAAACCCATCTGGGAACTGGTCGTCAGGCAGGTTGAAATGGCAGAAACCTGGACAGGAACCAAAGAGGCTGCCTGAGTTTCAGCTCACTCCATCAATGCACAAATAGAACGACCGTCTATGATGCTCTTACCCAACACTCTCTCTCCGAGACCTCCCAGTTCCAGGTACGCATTCTGGAAGGCGTCTTTCATCTCTTCATCCAGAGGCTGCTCTTTGCCCTGGAGCAAGATGGTGGAACAGCGGTCCAAAATCCTCTCAGGGGCTCCTTTCATCACCAACAGGTGCTTTGATTCTGCATCAGGTGCAGCATTCTTGTGAATGGAAAGCTACGGCAGCGAAAGGAACGACAGAGTAAACATTATCCAAGGAAATGAGTCAAAGAACATGAGAAGGTGGATGGGTTGGTGCTAACAACCAAAACAATGAACCATTTTTGTGGGACATCTGGAAAAACAACCCGTTTAAAGAGTGATGGGTTAAATACCTGGTACTTGTTGGTGGAGTTGAATGGGATTTCAGCTATTTTAGGGGTTTTCTCCCTCATTCCCTGGACTGATCCGCAGCAAAGCTCGATGCACTTCAGCAAAGCTGACTCTGAGGCATCGCCGGCCACATCTCGCTTTAAGAAACGGTCAATAAAAGGTCAATTTAACAGAGAAATATTCGACCGAGTCACAGAAATATGAATCCAAAACCGTTTCGTTCCCACTTGCTTTGTGTTTTCACCTACGAGGCGAATAAAAAGCTCAGAAAGAGCTTTTTATTTCCATCTCCACACATAATTACAGACCTGACTCTAAACACACTCCTCTAACAGCGACTTAAAGAAAACTAATGAGTGGTAATTATGACTTCAGCTACACATTTGGAGGTGATTAGCGCGCACGCACACACACACACACACACACACAAACAGGTGTGTAAGAAGAAAACCAGAGGACAGACTAGTTCAGACGTGTGTGTGTGTGTGTGTGTGTGTGTGTGTGTGTGTGTGTGTGTGTGTGTGTGTGTGTGTGTGTGTGTGTGTGTGTGTCATAAACTACAGAAACTAAAATCTACGATCTGCTCTGTTGTTCATTCTAATGTTTTATTAACTCTTTGGTTTCTGAAGGACTCAGGAGACGTTCTCCATACACACCAAAAGGATCTGGGTCCAGAAACATCAGACCAACACACACAAACTTGGAAAAAGGAAGTTCAAACAAGCCAACCTTCAGGATGGGAATGTTGCTCTGCTCAGCCAGGAAGACGGCCCGGTTACAGAGTCCGGCGATCCTGGCCAGAGCCGCCCAGGTGGCCGAGCTCCTGTCAAACGAGGTGCCGCTCTGGTTCTCTGTGGTGTCGGCCTCGTGGATCTGGTTGTCAAACCACATGTGGGCCACGGTCATCCTGTTCTGAGTAAGGGTGCCGGTCTTGTCGGAGCAGATGGTGGAGGTGGAGCCCAGCGTCTCCACGGCTTCCAGGTTCTTCACCAGGCAGTTCTTCTTGGCCATTCGCTTGGCGGTCAGGGTCAGACACACCTGGAGAGAGAAGCACTCGGGTCAGTTCAGACTCCAGTGGTTTCTGGAGGCTTCGGGAGGTGTGGAACAGCCAGACTCACAGTGACAGTAGCCAGGAGACCTTCTGGTACGTTGGCCACGATGATACCGATGAGGAAGATGACGGCCTCTAGCCAGGTGTAGCCAAGGGCGAGGGACAGGACGAAAAAGGACACGCCAAGGAAGACGGCCACGCCGGTGATGATGTGGATGAAATGCTCGATCTCGATGGAGATGGGGGTGCGTCCCACTTCCAGACCAGAGGCTAACGTGGCGATACGCCCCATGACGGTGCGGTCTCCGGTGCTGATCACAATACCACGAGCAGTTCCTGCAAAGCCATTTAGAAACGTTTGTTCCAAACTTCTGAACTATTTCTGAAACATTAATCGTGTGATACCCTCTTGCCTTCAACACAGTTGGTGGAGAAGAAAGCTATGTTTCTGGTCTCCAGAGGGTTCTCGTTGGAGAAGTCCGGCGTACGGGTCTGAGGTTCTGATTCACCTGTCAGGGAGGAGTTGTCCACCTGAGAGACACGGAACAGAAACATCATCTCCTTTGCTTCCTTGAAGAAGTTGGCCATCTGTAGTGTTCTCTCAGTTCAAACAGAGGACTGCAAAGAGCCAAACTGTTATTGATGTGAGTTAATTGTCAAATGAAACCCTCCTTCCTGATGGTTGATGGGCTCTAAGATTGATCACATTCTCTTTAAACAAAGATGGCTCCCTTTACTTTATTGTCCAAGAAAAAACCCGGGAGGATTTCTATGGCTTAAAATTCCCAAAATGTTCAGAGTGGCTTTGAATAGGAAGCCTGTTTCAAACAACAATGGTGCCACTTGCCACAAATTAGAGGCAGCATTAGGGAGCCTTTGGTCAGTCTCAAGTGGTCAGTCTGTGGCGGTAACGTGGTGTAATCGTGTGTTTTTCACAAAAGATAAAGCAATGGTGGTATCGAGGAGGTATGGGGTTGTTGCGCTGTCACAAACGTCCTTTCAGCTTGGACGTAACATGTTTTCCATCCCGATTTTTGAGTTAGGAAACATTTCACACTCCTAAAGTGGCTGTCCTTCAGTCCCTGTGAACTGGTGATCTGTGCCTCAGCACTCAACCCCAGAAGCTTCCGGCTCTTTGCATCGCTCCAGATTCCCGTCTCATCTGATGCAGTTTACAAAAGCAAAACTGACTCCCCATGTTAGCTTCAATTGTAAATACTGTTGCAGGCCGGGACTCTGCGGACTTCTACCCATCATCATGACATCACCATTTGTTGCTTGAAGGCACGATCTTCATTCAGAGGTCTGGTGTCGCGGTAATGTTACTATCAAGTTTGGCGGCACAAATAGCCCGATATTCTTGCCTCGCTATGCCGTGGTGGCAGTGTTTAGGATTAGTTAAACAGTGAAAGTCAGGGTTTAATTTGCAAACTAGCTTCAGTGAGTGAAAGCTTATTCTCTTGGGAGTCTTTAGGAGAGAACGACTCCTCTCAGGCGTTCCCACCTTGCAGCCATGAGCGGAGATGATCCGCAGATCGGCAGGAATCCTGTCGCCACCTTTCACCTCCACTAAATCACCGACGACCACCTCCTCAGCGTTGATGCTCTTCTTCTCTCCATCGCGGACGACCAGGGCTTGCTATGGAATGCAGACGTCCACCATTTAAAACTGTTAATGCTTATGTTTGTGGAGCAGCAAGTAAAGTGCTAAAACAACGGAGGGGCACCTGAGGGACCAGGTTCTTGAAGGAGTCCATGATCTTGGAGCTTTTGGCCTCTTGATAATACGAGAAGCATCCAGTGATGATGACAACAGCAGACAGCACAACACCTAAATACAACTGGAGACAAAAATCACACATTTAGACGTATAAAAAACATGCAGGAACAGGGTTCTAGTGTCGAGAACGTTCCCCCCTCACATTATCATTCGCCGGCTCTTCCTCCATTGCAGCCTGGATCCCATAAGCCAGAAAACAGAGGATGGCACCGGTCCACAGCAGCATGGAAAACCCACCAAACATCTGAGGGAACACACGAGATCTTCATAACCAAGGGGGGAAAAAAGCTCTAGGGAGTCAAACCGTGTGTGATCATACCTGTTTGCAGAACTTGACCCACTCTGGGGTGGTGGGAGGAGGAGTGAGGGCGTTGGGCCCGTCACGGGCCAGAATCTCAGCAGCTTTTGCACAAGTCAAACCCTAAAATTAAGGAAAGGTTAAAAAAAGATCTCAATCACCTGGTACTCAAACTCCAGAGCGGCCTGATTCTAAGAAAAAGCAGGTTTCATCATCAACTGTGTAGCAACCTGCAAACTCACAGACACGTTAAAGTCCAGAGGGAAGAATAGCTGAAGCTAGTTGCCTAGCAACGCAGCATCAACAGGAAAACATTCCCTCCATCATCAGATAGTGGGAAGGGTGCTCCAGGAGGAGAAACGATGAGGCAAATAGGAGGGTAAGAAATGAGGGCAGAGGGGCTTCTAGGGCTGATAAACGCAGAGCTCGGAGACCCCAATTAGAGGAACTGATGAAATATTCTCCTTGATCACTGCTGCATGACCAGGAGCACATTTACACGAAGAGAGAGGACTCCACCAAGCGTGGGATTGAGTTGGCTCCACTCTCTTTAAGACTAGCTTCCGTGTGAAGTAATAAAATAAATAAAACCAAGTGAAAAGTAGGTCTCGTCTTCTCCATTAAACAGGGTGAATTTTTAAAAATGTGCGCCGTCGTTTAAAAGGTTGGCAGAAAAAAATGATGAATGATAAAATCAAGACATAAATAATGATGGTACGGTGATGCTCATATTTAAAGAAGGTCTGTGACCGGCTTCCCTTCGGTCTTCAAGGCAGAACTAAAATCAGGGCTCTTATTTTGGTGGTGGGAGTTGAAATAATTAAGAGGTCCCATTCACCAAGAAGCTGTAAACAAATGAAAAGGGGTCAACAAAGGCAGCAGAAGAGTTGTGTTGCCATTGGCCAATCAGAGGAGAGATGTTTGCATATCATGAATATTAATGAGCAAAGGCCTGTTTCCTCAGTTGCTGGGTTTCAGATGACGTTTCATCTACTTTGCATCTACGTCACCGTGGGCGTGTCACGCGTGGGGGTCAGGAAGTAGATGCCGCTGAACAGAAACGTTGTTGCTTTGTTGACTCTGCCTCGCAAAGCCCAAAGTCTGTGCGGTCTACGGTTGTAGCAATTGCTCTAATCGAGGAAAAAAAAAAAGTTTTTTTCGTGTCCCAAAAGTTGTGCGCCACCAAGGACTTAATTTACAAAAACTTACTGAAAGACGACGGAAGAAGCGGATCAACAATCTCCGGCTGAAAACATGTTCCTCCACTGCAACTCAGGTGTAGGGTAAAATAAAGAATGCTAAAGATGTAGCTGAAACTTAGCAAGTTAGCGAAATGAGTTTTCACCCATCTGTCTGTAAATGAAGTTGTATTTTTTCACGATATCACGTCTGTGCCCGTCCACTCACTGTCCTCCACCGCGTTGTGTTCTGTTGCGCAGCAAAACACTTCCTGCCCCCCACTCAAATTCCGTGCGGTTGTGACGCCACGCTAGTCACGCGAGTGAAACCCAACAATCAGAACTTAAGTGTTTCCATTTCACTGGATCGGCCCAATGGGACCACTTTCCAGGCCGCCTCAGAGACCAACCCAGTACCTGCCTTGGGGTACACCTAAGGTACTGGAAATGGCCCAGTAGAGTCCCTGGGCAGGATTTGTGGTTAACTCATGCTGCTTGTTGTAACTCAGTAGGCAGTGACGTCGGCAGACGTCGCCAAAACAACTGGTGTTTGTAAAATTGGACGAGTTGCTGGTGAAGAAGAATGGAAGAGAAAGAAAAAAGCAGTGACTCTGCTTTAAAGCCGCCATTTCTAAACCTCTAATAAATAAAAAATGTGGTGGAAATCCCCCACAACACCGTGATTTATGCTGCTCCGTATCTCACTGAGCTCCGTAAACAACGGTTATTATTCTGGTCATTGAACGTTGCGTCTTACATGACGCAGCAGCTCTTCCCTGTCCCCTGAGCGGATTAAATAACAGCATACTTTGACATTTGACCTTTAAAGTTATTGATGTCCGTGGAAGCATTTTGGCACCGATTACTTACGTCACTCACTTCTGAAGTCGTGAAAGTGACGATTTTGTACGGCAATACATCGGATGAAAGCAGCGAGCCGCTGCCCCCTCCTTCCTGAAATTCCTCAGAACTCCAGTTGCTTCACCCAGAGGTGATTTTCTTTCTAAGTCGAGCTAATTTCAAAATAAAACTACAAGAAAACTGGTTGGAGAGAATGAATTAAATTGTCACCAAAGGGATGCGGTAACCTTGTTTTTGTTTGGCTTTCTTACGTTCAGATAAGAAAAAGTGAAGCTTTTATGCAAATTTAAGCGTTTATCTAATTTTGCAAGAAAAGGAAACGCAGCTACTTTCTTCTCATCTCACACCAAGAAAACATGAATCACCCAAACTGAGCAGCAAACATCAGCAGCTGACATTTGATCCTCATGACATCTCTTCAGCTAACAAAACACTTAACGCCATGGCTGACTCACATTGGTGAGATCTGTTCCATATTTACGATTGAGCTCGTCCAGCGTCAGCTTGTGGTCATCCTGCAGGGAGACAAAGACAAGTTGGCATCATGTGTTCATGACAAATGCATGAGTGGATCCAATATGGCCGCTGACATTTGCAGCCCTTTGTACACAGTGACCTTTTGGTTCCCAGTAGCTCATAAAACAGAAGCTACAGGTTCAGAAAGGAAACTCACCATATCCACTTCCTTCTTCAGCTCATCCATATCCTTCTCCTTCTTCCCTTTCCCCTTCCCTTTTTTCTTCCCGCCTTGTTCCGAGGTCGCAGCCAACTCATACTGCTCTCGTCCGTCCTGGAAGCACAAAACCCCAAAACATCAGATACCAGTTCCAGGACTTAATGGTGGAGTTTTGTAAACCAGGTTTTTAAAGCAGGATTTGCAGAACGTTTTCTGATGGCCAGAAGGATGATTATGGGTTTAAGTGCAAACATCCCATGCTACAGTGAAATAATCCCCACTGAACATTATCATACTCTAATCTCAGAGAGTCGTCGAGTTCAGATGTGCAACAGTTGGCAGATGTAGGAACAATGTTTTGTTAAATCCAATCCAATATTCTCATTTATGATGATTGAGATCATGACAAACACAGTTTTACTTCATAATATTGAAAAAATGTGAAAGTTTAGTTTTATCATTATTATTTCAATTATTTTTTTTATTTAGAAATAATACACTTTAAAACGATACTAAGCAGTTGTGCTTGCTTTTAGCACCCCCTAGTGTCTGTCATTAACTTTCTGTGGCCAAACCAAAAATGGCATTATCTCCTCACTGTGCGGTCATGTTTTTAACACCTTGATCTTAAAGCTGAAACGTCTCCCGAGCCTTCATTAGTGTCTGCAGGACTGATTCATCACTAAATTAAACAAATCAGCTGTGTTCGTGATCTAAAACATACAGGAAACGTGCTGGAAGCAAACTGCGGTGCCAGATATGTCAGCTCCACTTTACCAAGCCTAACAGGAACCAGACCGCCACTCTGAAGTGCGGTTTTCTAACGACAAAGATTGGTGGGGGTCTGAGTGACATTTCATTAACCCTGTAAAGGGTCATTTTAGCGCATACCAGCTCAAGAAAATTATTTTAAAGTATTATAGATGTGCATAGTATCCCTTCAAAGAAATTCAAAAATTAAAGACCTTGATACGTTTTTAATGTTTGACAAAAGGATGACTATGAAACTCACAACATTTTTAAACATTCTTTAGATTTCAACTTTCCTTTTGGTATTATTAAACCCCTAAAATTGATGTTTCTCAGACAAATAATAAATAAATCAACATAGGAAGAGCATCTGGGTTTTCTCCAAAACACATTAAAAACATTTTCTCCTCTCTATGTTCTTTTGATGTTAAAGAGCAAGTTAATTGACCTTTAAAAATAATAAAAAAAAATAAATGGGATGCTGTTAAAACAAATGGTTGTTAAAAGCACAAAATGTTCTTGGATTGTTTAGTACTTCTCACTTCTTGCTATTGCTAACCAAATAAAGAACAGCAAAATAGAAACAATAAAAAAAACTCTAATATGATTTTTTTTTAATTAACTGACAAGTCTGTCAAACTAATTTTCATTTGAATTAATTTGGAAAAGAACCATTTCTAAAATTATGCTTCTTTGCAACTCATTATTTTACAGATAAAGCATAACAGTGGTAACACAAAAAAATTGGTATCTGTTGTCACACACTAATCCAGCCTCTCCACTTGATGTGTACACACCGTTAACATAATAGTTGTATTTTACCCTCAAGCTCCCTTCCAATCAACAACGTTTTGGATGTGAAACAGGAGGACCACGCGTGATTTCAGCTGTTCACGATAACAAGGAAGGAGAAAGATGACAGCGTGTATCCAACAGGTCTGTGGTTTAGTTTCTGATCCGTTTACTTTGGCAATGAAGGTTTCTTTGCTTTCTTTGAGCAACTGGAAATCTACACGTGACTTTTATTTTGAAAGTTTCTAGATGTCTTCCACTGCTTTTGTGTTTGACTTCCTGTCTGGCCAAAACTGAACTGCAGAGTTTGAGGTGTTCTAGAAGCGTAGCGCGGAAAACAGACTTGAAGCATAAGCAAAAGGTCCTGTTTGGTTTGCCTTCTTTGTTTTATTTCCTTACTACGTTTTTTTAATGCTGCCTAGATTTTAGCTCGAGTTTAGGTGTTTTACGTTTTAAATCATTGTTTTTACTCACTGTTTATTGGAGGCTTTTAACTTAGTGTTTTTATCATTTCTGCTGCCCCTTCCTTGTCTAGCACTTTGGTCAGCTGACACACTTTAGTTAATTTGCTTTACAAAGAAATATGGTATGATGAGGTCCTCATGCTTTTGGGACAGGTCCAAATTGTGACACTTGCACCAGATCATCATAACGGTGGCTAAATGCTGCAAAGTACATTTTACAGACGTTACATGATGCTTACATGTCTGGTGGAAAGGTGGCGTTAGTAAAAGAACAGAAGAAAGAGTTTTTAAAGGTTTTCATGATAATTATTGCTAATTACTTGGGCAATTTTATTCTCTAGATGCTCAAAACCAAAAATATTCAGTTTTACAACTCTTTACAAAACCTCCAGTTTCACGTTGCAATATCCTGCAATGGTTAGTGTAAACATCACAATCATCGGCAAAAAGTAGCATTTCTGCTATGTAAAATAATGGTTACAAAGAGTAACATCATCCACTGTAAACTTTAGGAAATGGGACTAGCTGTTAGCTCACCTGAGTTTATCCCAACCGAAGCAAAGAAATTTATGAGACTGTAATTATATGTTTGACACTTTTAGAGTAAAACTGTTCGGTTACGAAATATTATCAAGTCAAGAAACATTGCACAAAGTCTTTACAAAATAAGAGCATGTTTCCAAAGCTGAATGTGATAAATTACTTTTAAAGACTATTCTTTTACATTATGCGGTGATGATTTAAAGGGACAATGTGTAGTTTCCTGGCGCTAGGGGGCGGTATACATTTCAGGTTTGTTTTATCGCCGTGACTGTTGCTAGTTTAAAGGAACATTTCGGTAAATGTTACTTGTGGAGCAGAAATCATGCAACCTCAGCATGACTCCTCAGACTCTGATGGTGCTTCTGTTAATTCCATCTGACACAGTAGTTTTTGGATCTGCTCAGGGTCCTGCACCTGCCGATGATGTCATCATACTACTGCAATACCGCTTGGCCAAAATATATTGCATCTCTTTTTTGATTGTGTTCTTTCACATAGGCTTTGGAAACAGTTTAGCAGTTTTGTTATTCATGTTTCTTACTGCCTAAATGTTTCTGAACGTGGTAACATAACTTCCGTAAGTCGTACATCCTTCTAGTGTGATGTCATTGACAGGCCCAGGACCCTGAGCCAGCATGAAGGAAACATGGCATCTAATGTGGCGTCCCTCAAAGATGCTAAACCTACACCCTGTGTACTTTAGACATGGTTTTTATGGTCATATGTTACGAAGTCGCCAATATTTTTCAACTGGACATAATTTTATTCATTTTCAACAATGTTCAATGGACATTTCCAGACAAGTAAAAATACACATTGCCACTGTAAAGCCAAAATAAAAGTACAAACTCTATTCAATGCACAACCCTGTGTCAAATTAGTAAAAAGGACATTTAAAAGTGTACTTAAGAAAGAGAGGATCTGGTGTTGTGAGTGTTTCTTTGGTTTACAGATAAGGCTTTCTCTGCTTGAGACAGATTACGCCTTTAAAAAAAACACCCACTTTTGCTACAAAGAATGTCTCCGTCACCAACAGCTTTTCTAAACATAACCTTGACAGCTTTGTAGCTCAGCTAATCTCCAGAGTGGAACAATCAACCAGTCATTTAACCGGGGACATTTTGTTGTTTTTAACTCCAACTGGGACACAAATTCTCTCACTGTAGGCAAGGCACAATTTAAACAAACAGAATAATCACGGCATTAAAAACAAATTTGGACCGAAAACACACTCGGCAGCCACTATCACACCATCGGCTGTGGTTCAAAGCGACAGCCCCCTTCCCACTATCCACAGACGTCCCCTCTCATTATCAGTGGTAGTTGTAGCTAACAGAGCAACACAAGTTTTCTCCAGGGTTAGAGTGATGGGAGAAAGCTCAGATAGGAAGGAAGGAAAGAAAACAGTAACGTATAAGATGGTTGAAACAACACTAATTCACCATGAGATGATTTGTTAGTTCCTTGTAGGGCTGGGCGATATGGACCAAAACTTATACCTCAATCTCTTTTTGCTGAATTCCAAAATACGATGTATATCTCGATATTTTTCCTCCTGTAAAATACTTACAAGTTAACTCACTTCAAGCTGTTGAGAAAGTATACATACATCAGTAGATTAATGCATAAAAATGTATTGATTCTTGTCAAACTTTAACCTTAGTGCCTATTCTCTGGTACAGCTGTGTTTTCACACACACACACACACACACACACACACACACACACACACACACACACACACACACACACACACACACACACACACACACACACACACACACACACACACACACACACACACACACACACACACACACAGGCAAACATGGCTGGAGTCTAACAGTATTGGCTCTAATCAGCGATCATACTGTAATGACTCAGAGTCTCTGGTTGCTCTTTTGTGAGTATTATTTTTGGGCTACTTTCGCCGTAACCCATGCCTTAAAAAACTCTTAACCTTTTCAACAGAATCGTTCATAGCTGAGTATTTACTAGCATAGCAAACCACAGCGGAAAAAAAACGGAACAACATTTCACTCCCGTTGAGCTCACCTTCAAAATAAAACGTTAACCCTATAGTTTACTATTCAAACCCTTACAATATGTTTGAGGTAAATTGGCCACTCTGGCTATCTGTAGATGTTTCCTATTACACAGAGGACGGAGGGGTTTGGCTCGTCTCCGCACAAGCAGGATGGATAAACAGAACTCCATTGGCATTGAACGTCCCCAAATAATTAAAAACCAGGACGCCAAATGCAAAGTTTAGAGCAGCACATTTACCCAGAGGCTCTCCGATTGAGCAAACTTGTGAGAATACATGTAATAGCCGCTTTGAGACGGTGCAACATGTCGCTAGCATAGTGGCTAAACGCTAGCATAGAAGTTTGATCCGTTATATCGATATAAAGATATAAAGTCATCTTATATCTTATTTAAAAATTAGCCCTAGTTCCTTGTGCCATTAAGCACCTCCAACCTATCAGGTCTCTAGCAGGAAATGAGGATATCATCTTACGGGTGGTTTAAGAGACCTTAAAGAACGTGAAGGTCCCCCAGCCT